AACTTTTTAAGAGTTCCTTTTTTCCCTTTTCAGGGTCGAAATCCCATAATGTTTAGTCTTGTATAAAAGCATTTATTTAATGTTACCAACTTAAATAAAATAAACTCCAACTAGTAAAATAGTAATCTACATCTTACTTATTATATTTGATCCATTTTGCATTCATAATGCTATGGTGAAAAATACGATATTATTATGACTCTTACTTTACCAATGTGCACTACTCCTTAGTGTTCATTCAGCTGTATCCACTTCACAAGAACATGAGTGTATTTTGCTTAATTTAAACTATATTTTAATTAAATTCCATTGTATCATTTGATCTCTATTTTCACTGTTTAAGGTAAATGTAAAAAAAAACTTTTTTTTTTATGTTACAACTAAATAAGGAAACAGATCGAATCACAGATAATGATGTTTCAGAATTTAATATATTTAATTAAAATAGGTACTTTTAGATAATAAAGCATTATTTGCAAGAATGAATTTTCGTAATCAAAAATAATTTCTTTAGTTAAACATTTCTCAAATGCCAATATAATAAATGTATCTCTTTGTGTAAACAGCTGTAATCCAAAGTAAACAAGAACAACAGGAAGTTTAAAAAAATGTAAACCATTCCAACTAACACTACCCAATATGTGAACTGACTCCTAAAGTAATAAAGGTAAGTGCCTGGAACTGCATTATCGTTAGCCACTTTCCTGATATTTGTTCCTATTGGTGTTCGGTATTAGTGGAAGAATTTAGTACTCTCATTATTATCTACACGTTCGGTGCTCAATGCAATGACATCATTAATTTCTAGGCTCTCTAGAGTTTAAAAAAGTAATACAGCTTTATAAATACCATCTCAATGATTGTGTCAATGTTTACAAGGATAAATATGCAGTTACACATTTGATCTATAGCTCTGTCTTAAACACAATCGATAAACGACTGCATTGTTTAGAAGCCTCACAACGTAAAGCTGTGGCGTATTTGAAAGCGAATATAAAATCGAACCTCTAGTCAATTTTCAGACAAAATGCAAATTATTATGAGAGTACATTTCATGATTTTTGTGTGCTAGTCTGTTATAAGAATTATTATTTAAATTTCAGTCGTAAAAATACCATTACTACATATTGGAGTATAGTTTATACTAATATGTAGGTGAACAATTTATTGTTTCTTTGTATTGAATATACTCCGAGACTATGGTATCGATTTGAACAATTCTTTTATATACAAGAAAGTACATTATACGCGGGTATATACTATAATTTACACGGGTGAAGTTACGGCAAAATAGTTATTATTCTATAGGCCAATGAAGTTTCGTCAAATATTATTATTAAAAAATGTGTACTACACCAAATTCTAATATATACGAGTGCATACATTGAATTTCAAATGAATTTTATGACATGGCCCATCCTCTGTAACCATCCATAAGGAAGGGCTGAACTCCTGACAGGCCATTTAGCAGCGTTTTTACTATTAAAAAAAAATACGGAATACGTCTATAGCGTTTTATTTTTTTAGCTTCTGGTTTTAATAAAAGAAGAAAAGATCCCTGTAACTTCCAACGCAAGCCAACGTTTTACCAGTGTTATTCACTTAACACCTCCATCAACAACACCAAACGTTAGTTATACTTTAGTTAAATCTAAAAATTGATTGAATGAGTTGTGTCAAATACAACAACAACAATGAAAGTTATCTTAAAGATATTCCGTGTCGTATACAGTACTGGTATCCGGCTTAGCCTGGGGATTTGGAATACAAATTGGTTTAGTTATAAAACTCTGTTGTATGAGCATTCTGCGGTCCCCGGTGCACTGTTCAACCGTATTGACCGGATAGTTCACGAGGTTATGGCCGTTTTGTTAGCATATGTTCTGAAACATTTTATAAAGAATTTAAAAAAATATAGAATAGTTGGATTAAATTAAGTTAATAGTTGAATACAATAGTTAAGCTTAATTAACAATGCCTTAATAATTTAATTAATCCAGACTGTAACGATTGCTTGGAAGAAATTGCTTCTTAGCGATAAGACCACTGATTGTAGTATCTGTTCATTGTGTTATTCTTTTATTATTATTGGTGTTTAAGTAAAATTAATAACTGTTCATTTATTCATACTTTTAATATCTATTTATCTATCCATGTTGGCACACTGTATCCCTTACCAAGCACCGCAAGGGACACAATATATATGTATGTATATTAATATACAAAAACGAATACAACACTAGGTATTTTTAAAATCTAATACACAACTGGTATCATAAATGTCCTTTTAAGTGTCCCATAAAAATCACAAGCAACAGCAATCGACATTGACTCGTTTGATTTAACTTAATAAAGGCTTTAAGATAATACTTAGAGTCTACTAATGGAACTGGAAGATGGCCATGGGGACTCGTTTTATGAGTATCAAAAAAATCATAAATATAATTTTGGTAATGAGATTGTTTCGCATAAAATTGTTTCTCCCGGAGAGATTCTACATACTACGCAAAACAGAAATGAAGACGGAAAGAACTCTGCGTTACGCTTTCGCTTCGATTTATCGTTGTACAACAGACGTACTGTGGTATTTTTTATGTTATATTATGATAACATCTCTATAGCAACAAACCATGGCTAACGGTAATCGCCAAGAATTGAGAACAGTTTCAATATAATTGCGGGCCGCTTTATATTTTTTTTTAACACGGTCAATTTTAATTATGAATTAAATATTTAATATTTGTTTTAAATTAAAACAAAGGTTTGAGATTCAGGTTCACATTTGTATTTGTTTAAGCCGAAGATGAAATATTTAAGGAGTTTTAAATAAGTTGGATATTTTATTTATTACAGATAGGTATAGGATAGTCTGAAACGATAAAATTATCTATACTATTTTTATAGGGCTGACTGCATCAATATGACCGTTACAACAAATTGTATATATCATTATCTACTTATATTTGTTCAGAACCCTAACAGTAGCAGTGGCGTAACTATAGGCAGGCAAGTTGGCAAAATGCCAGGTGGCCTCCAGCTAGAAGGGGCCCTCGGTCAGAGGAGACTCCTTACTCCTGACATTTATTATAACACAATTAATAAAAAAAAATATCCGATGAATTTGAAACGGTCCTCAAACGGTATAGTTACGCCACTGAAAGTAGTATCATAGTAAAAAATACTTACACTTTGGTAGAATGCAGTAAAGTATAAATTGAGAAAAAAAACATAATCATGCATCAGGAGTGACGGGAAGAAGTAGACAGATTTATGTATTAAAATATATGTACAATATTTTATATAATTTTATAGTTCATCGCATTTATTAATTTTAATTTATATGTATAATCTTCAAATATCAAAACTAATGTTCATACTTGTATTCATAGCCCAACGGTTAATGACCTTAACTCCAAACCAAAATTATTTACAAACATTTATAAAATAGTATAATAATTGCGAACCTCAAGTGGCAGTGGGCAGGGCACATCGCTCGCAGAACTGACGGCCGTTGGGGCAGTAAGGTCCTGGAGTGGCGACCGCGTACCGGGAGACTCAGTATTGGGAGGCCCCCGGGAGGCGACGATCTGGTGGTGAAAGGTCGCGGGAAGCCGCTTTAGAGGTCTTTGGGGGAGGCCTATACCCAGCAGTGGGCGTCTCTTGGCTGAATTGATAATAATGATGATGAAATAGTATTAATACTCGATGACGGAGTGGCTAGCAGGTTCGATCCGCAATGCGAAGGTTAACCAAACTTCGCAATGGCCAGTAACTATGTAATAGGATAGAAGATCAGACCAGTCCATTCTACTCATTAGACCTGATTCCATATGTAGGCCTTTTTTAATGCGGGACAAATGCCATCTTAATCCTTAAACCAAGGCTCCTTGAACCCGCACCCTTCCTGAAAAGTACAGGCTGATTGATCCCTAGTGAATTGTTTAGCAGGATAAACATTCGTAAGATTACTTTGTTCTGTATAAACATCCTAAACAATATAATAATTGATTTGAACATCGATTCATATCATGACACGGTTATATTTTCAATGACAAACCGAATAGTTAACAAAGGTTACTATGGTAACGTTTTAAAAGGCTTATATCCTATAAGTGAAAATACATATCTATTATATATTCAAAATATGAATCATTTTAACTTATAAATATTTAACAAAATAAATTTTATAACACTAATTTGGAAAATAATATGCTATGCATAATAAGAACTTGAAAAAAGTGAGATAAATATACTACAAAAATTTGAATTAGTTATATAAAACATTACAACTTTGATTATAACAGCTATAAACATGAACGTACAAATAAGAAATATATTAAAAAGATTATACAGACGCCCATACGTTTAACGCTAGCAGCGTATGACGCCACTTAGTGCCTTGAATTTGTAGAGAACGTCTCTGCCCGACTAGCAGCAGTCCACAAACAGCACCGTATCTCCAAAACTATTAATCGCAGACATGCTGTTGCTTCTATATTATTTCTCGGTTATTAATAGACTATTTATTTATAAAATAAAACTGTTTGCAGTTTTTCAGGATAAATTATAGCTTATATCCACCGCATATGAAATAGCTTCCCTTAGGTGAAAGAATCTTTAAAATGGGTCCATTAGTTTCGGAGACTATTCGTTTCAAACAACCATGAAAACTTTCCTTTTTTTATAATATTAGATATATCGACTAGTTTATAATATACTTCCAAAAAGTATTTGACGTCGTCATAGTCTTAATCTGACCTGCGTATGCCCGAGCACTGGGACTTAATAGTGGGATAAGAATTAACCTATTTTCAATTTGCATTCTAAATTTTTACATAGGTAAAAATATTGAAAGGTAATAAAAATATGACTTAAAAACAATAATTATTTATTTTTAAATATTTTTTTTATAATAAAACAACAATCACAATTTAACAACAACAGTAACAAAAAACCCGTACAAAAAGTATATACTAATATCACAGCTGTACTTTGGTAGATCAGTGCTTGCCTTTACCGCCGGAATGGTGGCCCCATTCCTTATGGTCGTGATGACCACCCTTCTTGCCATGATCATGATGGTGATGATGGTGCTCATCGTGACCGTGATGACCCTTGTGGCCCTTGTGGTCCTCGTCATGATGGTGCTTGTCATGATGACCGTGCTTGCCATGATGATGTTCGTGATGACCGTGTTCGTGATGACCGCCCTTCTTGTGGTGACCATCATGCTTCTCATGATGTCCGTGATGGTGACCGTGTTTGTGATGCTTGCCTTCTTTATGATGATCATCGTAGAAGTGATGATCCTTGTGGAAGTGATCCTTGTGGTACTTCTTGTGGTAGCCATCGGTATGTTCTCCCTTATCATGGTGCTTGTGGTGACCGTGCTTGCCTCCTTTATGGTGATGACCGTGCTCGTGATGATGGCCGTGATGGTCATGCTCGTCCCAATGCTTCTTGTGGTGACCTCCGTGTTCGTGGTGATGACCTTCGTGGTGATGCTTACCGTGATCACCGTGATCACCCTTGTGGTGATGGTGGTGACCTTTGTGGCCTTTGTGGTCTTTGTGGCCGTGCTCGTGATGGTGATGAGCATGGTGCTCTTTGCCGCCTCCACTCTCGTGGTGATGATCACCTTTATGGTGGCTGGCGGCTACAGCGAGATCTTTCTGCTCCTCATTGAGCTCCCTAGCATTGGCCGCCGCTAGGCAGACCAGTGCTACCACTATTATCACCTTCATGTTGTGTTTGTTGATGATTGGTTGACATTATCACTATTTATAGTACAGATGAGGAAAGCATTCCGCAACGTGTGCGCAAGCGCGGTCTCAGGGACAAGTCTTAGTGCCGGTGGAGCGTTACGCTGCAATTGTAAGAAAGTTGCATTGGACATAAATAATTGATTTTCAATGCGACAATAAACTTTTGCATCATTATAATTAGCCGTGTTATGAGATTTAATTGTGTATTACCGTATGCATATTACAAAGAATTGGTAGACAAGAATTTTAGTATTTGTGTCTTATAGGTCATACAATGTTTCAGATTACTTTTTTTTCTGTCTTGTACATGTAACAAAAATAAAACTATGTGACAAAAAAGAACATTAAAAAGAGTTGTGTGGCTGAATGAAAAATATTAAACCGACTTAAATAAATCGTAATAAAGAGAAACTGAAAAAAGAGAAATAATACCACAAGACATTTATTTAAAGAAATAAATACAATTGTAGTGTCTGTTTGTAAGGTTAAAATAACCGCTTTTTTCTAAATGCATATGTATACACGGTACATACACTAAAAAAACTTTTTTTTTCACTTTTTATTTGTATATTCCGGCTAATCTCTAAAACGGCTAGGCCGGTTTAGAGGGACACTGGCAGATGGCTTATGTAATGAGGAGTAACTTAGCCTTCTTTTCAAATGAACGAAGTCATAGGCACAGCTAGCCTTCAATAAAATCGAAACAAAATTAGATACATCGACACTTTTTTTTTTGAGATCTTAACGAAATTACATACATACACCCTTGAAAACCTACATTTTTTGAAGCCGTTTATTTATATTAAACAAATATGAATTTGGTGTGTAGGACTATAAATGTGATGTTTTCATTTATTTATTAAATTCACCATCATCATCAGCCATTTTACATAGGACATTATAAGATAAAAGGTCCTCCTTATTATGTTTAAAGGATGGGCCATGGCCCTCCACGCTGGCCCAATGCGGCTTTCCGAAGCACGGGGTAGCTCGAGATAATATTTGTGATATATAATTAATACAAAGAATAAAATCACATATTAACTATGCGATGCATGTATTTTTTTATATAAAATCAGTATCTAAAATATTTCCATTCTGAAGTGCCCTCCCTGTGATGTAAAAAGAACAATATGCATTGCGTTGTTGAAATTTAATCAGAACTACAATAGGGAGTGTCCGCTGCTAGACCTCGGTCGGGTATTATTCTGGTGCGGTTGATGGACGAAAATATTGTTAAAATTTACCATTGAAATATAAAAAAAACATTGTAGCTGGAAATATAGATTGCTTTTTTTTAGCACATCTCGTAAATTTCCTTTCTAATATTATTTTTTAGTATTGATACAATTGAAACATGAATAAAACGAGCTGTGTGGCTGAATGGCTTATATGCGTGCAAAGTGTTCCGTCGGATGGCTATACAAAATTGACTTTTCTATATTTTCTCGGGTCTGAATATTGTAGTACCTTCGCTGTTTAGATTGCGATAATATAAGCGGTTTATCAGATTAACTTGAGTTCTGAGCAATGTATGTGATGTCTCTTATTTATTTATATGATAATGCATACAATACGGGATTTAAAAAGAAATCATCTTATTTATAGTAATCTTCTCAATTAACATTCATGGGAATTATTTGATACCCATATTATAAGAATTCCAAAGCTAAGTCCGCCTTTTTGGGCCATCCGATTTATCAGGGCGGATCTACCTAAAGGCTTAACAAGTTTAAGCCCAGGGCTCCGTGGATACAAAGGGCCGTCAACCCCCAATATAAACAATAAACGGTACTTTTAAATCAGGCAATTGAAATCTATTGAAAATAGTTCCTTAACAAAATTACATTTACTTCAGTTATCAATAGGCTCCTGATTAGTATTAGTCCAGGGCCCCACAAATTCACATGGCCGCAGGGCCTTCTAATATTTAAAAACCGTAACTTAGCTAACCTATATTGAAACTGTGGGCTTCTCACCTTAATCAGTTAAGAATAAGTGTATAAATTCAGTTGAAGAATTTGATTAACATACTTTGCAATTTAAACAAAGTCTTGTAGAAATTTGTACAGTACATCCAGATATGACGTAAAATTTTGAAGTTTTTTCGATTTGATTTGGTTCGGGAAGTGATACAACATAATTGACACCATAGACCTTATAAGTTTATTTGATTAAGATATGTATGTGAAATATTTTTATAATGTTGCCGACAGCAAATAAATTGCTATGCATTAAAATAAATAAAAAAAAAAATATTATAAACTATCGAATTTCCAGATTTTAAGTCATAATTAATTTATAGGTTTTAAATTGTAATTCAACTTAAGTTGTTGCCTGCTTACATAAATGTATTGAAAATAAAATGCATAAATACTTTATATAAAACTAAATTATAACTCGCAGAATAAGACCACGAGCAAAGAGACTGACAACGACCCTTTAGGGAATGGTGAATTTTCCAGTGGGAAAATATTTTTCATATTTTTATTTTAAACGCTATAGTGGTTGTCAACAAGCCATTAGGAAGTTGGGGAGACTCTTTTTGCAGCTTCGTTGGAGAGGGAAAATTAAATATTTATAACTGAAAAAAGGATCGCCAGTTGCATTTCTTTTCTATAAGCCTCTTATATTTGTTTAATGTCGTAAGCATTAATCTTTTATATTTATTTTTAGTCTCTTTAGGAAAATATTACCATATCAATCGTTAGGTTCATATAATATTTAGCAATAAGGATGGTACTTGGGTCCAAAAAGAAATTCTATTTAGTTCATTAGTCAGAAATCTGAAATATATTAGATAAGTATAACGTAGATAAGCAGTGTCGCTGTAATTTATTAAGTACACAAAAACATCAAAAAATCCCATCTAGAGTACCAGGAACAAAGAGGATTTTTAGCATTTTTTAATAAAAAATCCTACGTGTTTAATATCTTTCATTGACCTGCCTACCGGATATAAAAAACAAAATAGTCATCATTGTTATTAGTCATTGTGTTCACTTTCTAAGTACTTACCGAAATTTGACTAAAAGATTTTGGGACATGTCCAGACTAAGATTTTTGACCACAAAAGCTTTGACCAGTGACTTATAAAGATTTCTTATAAAGTACCTGAGGTAATATTAATTTCATCACATCATGAGAATAGACAGCATTCACATACATAATACATTAACGTAAGCTAAGTCACTAAAAGCAAGGACCATGAAAGCTCAGAACTAGACTTTGAAAATCAAATGTTATCAGTTTTGCATCATACAAACAAGTATCGTGTCGTTCATAAACCTTTTTTAAAACTTCCTTAACAGATTCGAAAACAAACTTTTTATCCCATTACACTTACGTTCATAAAAGTCTTTAACTAAGTCGAAATGTAAATAAAGATATCCAGCGATGTGTGAGGGTGACCCGTGATTTGTCAGGAGCTATCTCGACCACTCCAACTCGTTCACGACAAATCATTCGCGCGATCCGTGACAGGAAAGGAATATATCTCGGTCGACCCGCTTGGGGTGAGGTGGGATATAAGTTTCCGGAGACAACACTTATTAGTGGGATCGTTACACACTCGTTGATTTTATTTCTGGAAATATTAGTTTTATGATAATTTTTTTTTGTGCTAATTATATTTTTACAAGCATTTTATACGTAACATTTAAAATGTTAATTTAGTACGAAAAACGCTAGAATTTAAGTAGCTCGTGCTCAATAAACCAAAGTTCTCTTTAAATTATCGAATAAAAAACATGTGATCGTAGTGTAAATTTCATTATTTTTTTTATTATTTTAAAACACGAATTGTGGGGCAAATAAATTATTATCATACCAAAATTTTATTGAGCTTATAGACTTTTATAAGATTACACTAATCTGTTCTTTTCTACTAATCTGTCTGTTTTTTCTTAAATTTTGACAATTCAATAAAAACAGACAGTTCTTATTCATTTCAGCGAGTGTACACTTTTTCAGATTGTTTCTCAATAGAGATAACTAAAGTATTTCAAAAGCATTTAGTTAGACTGAAAAATTGAGCTATTCAAATAAATAATACCGTTCAACGGATCGACAAACGAAACGTTCGTAATTGGATCGACGTTACGTCACAATGTCAAGGTGAAGGTCGCATTGTTAAGTTTCATTCACGTTTTGATAGTGGACCGAATGTCTTGATAGCACCTAAAAATTTATAGAGGGGTGTAATTAATAGCTTCTTGTGAATGTTAGATTTAACATGTATGAGTCAGCAAAATATTATCAGATAACGATTGATCAGATTTTTTTATTTGTTTGCATCTAATAGGTTTCAAACCTACTGGAACGATATTTAAAGTTCTGTCACCTGCTGAAGCTACATCATAAGTATTATTTATGTGAGTGAAGTTGCAGAAAAACTGCTAGTATATGTATAAACATTAAATTAAAAACACAACTGCCAATAAAGAACTTTAAATAAAACTTACAAATTGTATTATAGCTTGGCGAAACAAAATTCTTATTACAAACGAGAGTGCGAATTTTGTTGAGCCAAACCGTAATATAACTCGTTTCTTTCATTTCTAAGTCTTTTGTGGCAGTATTATTTTTTTAATCATTCATTTTTATTTTATTCCTTTAAGAGGTCACATTTACAAATAAATTCCTACATATGTAAACACACCCTGTGTGGACGCAGTCATTTATACACACTATTCTCCTACTATTCGGATACTTAGTTTTTATCGTCCCACGATGACAACAGGATTGATTCTATATAGGTAGATCGATTCTATACAATGACTCCTATATATAGACGAATCCTATACACACGTATAGGATAGCTATCGATGGACTATTAGGAGCTTTTTATTGGGGCCCGAATATAAATGACCCCATCAAGCCGGTAGATTCTTGGGAAATCCACTTACTTTTCTTCTGTAAGATTAGACTCAGTAATATGAATGAATATTTTATTATTACATTACTTAATATGTAGTTGT